GTTGTGCGCGTTTACAACATCTTTCCGACGACACCAATTTCAAAAGAATCGGACCAAAACTGTAGTAGAAGATAGGAAAAAAACTGAAAAACCTTCACGTTAGTATACTACGCTCGAGGATGACGCCCAGATGTCGCCAACCCCACATCATGTAGCCATGTCCCTAAGGTTGACAAATTTCACGGCCTTGTAGATACACGTACACCCGTTGCCTTTCTACAAGAGTTCTTCTACGCGCCCACATTTGCAGCCAGCCAGCCAGCCAGCCAGCCAGCCAAAGTGAGATTAAAAGCTACTTTTTACAAATAAATTTGCAAAAATGCGCTAAAAATAGCATTTTCTATCCAACTTACAGCAGTTTTAGTAAAAAGTACAGCTTGTAAGGAATAGGCAGTGCCGTTTTTTTTTCGTTTTCAGAAGTAACTGTTGTGTCGTTTTCTAAATCTTAGAATATTTCAATACTTATATTTAACATCGCCTCATCTTCTGCTAAATTACACGACGAAACAAAATCTTTGATGCAAAATACTCCTCTTGAATCTCACAAACACAATTTGAAAATCGATTACTAACAATTATTTGAAACATAGTAATTCCTTTGCGCGTTCACTTATTCTGAAATCGCGCTATTTACTTCAGCTGCTGAAAAAAAGGAAACAAGAGACCATTTCTTAAAAATTCCTTCTGAAGAACATTTTTGTGTCCTTTGGCCACAATTCATTCGATATATGTGAGACAATTATAGTAATAACAAAAAAGTTTCTCGCATGGTGAATTTTTCTCTGCGCGGATAATAAATGCGCGATTTTGTAGGGCCTTTTAAAACTATACTAATATCAGATTAGGCATCATATACGCATTATTGGAGGCGCATATCATTCTAGTTTAAGACACCGAAAGGATTATAATGATATAGTTCCTAGAAAAAGAAATATGATGATGTAAAGACAGAAAAACGCGGATTTACTAACATCGTTTTACCTGCAATACTTTAAACCTAAAAATTTATTATTTTTAGTGTTATTAAAAATTAACGAACACCATAATTTGATTGTGTGTACTATTGACAAGCTCTCATTGAAATTTCGTGATTCTATGTTGAACGGATCAGGAGTAAAAAAATAAATAGTGGAGCCGCGCACGGATTTTCCATAAGCCGTAATGTATTTCATATGACTCCTAACGTCACGTGACTTTTTCGAGCGCTCCGGCCTGTAAGTATCGTAGGCCTCGCACTACCCCATAACAAGATACAAAACCCGAAACAGTAGCCTTGACGTTTAAAGTGACACTTTTTAAAACTCGTTGACGTTGTCAAATGCCTTACCTTTTACAACCAGATGTAACTTGCTTTCTTTTGCGGAACTCGATCGTTTCCGCAGAAATCTGCTTGTTACGAAATATAGTGCTTTTCCCAACTTAATATTTTTGAATTTTTGCAAAGGTGGCTAGTTTTTCGGGGAGAGCGTCATGTTATAGTGAGCTATGAAGTACTACCCCTAAAGGTTCGGCCAAAAATATTATGATCTTTTTATATTATTAAGGATCCTACAACTGCCCATCGATTATCCAATATTTACTTTAAAGCTTCGTGCGTTGTCCCTTCTCCTGTATTGTTGCAACGTTAATGTTGGTTTCGTCACAAAACTCGTTCAGGAATTTTTGTTGTACAAATCCACTGTCCCTTATCGTGATCCATGCAGGGAACTCGCCTCGCCACATGGGCCTTGCATCGTTAGGGGATAACGATTTGGTACAAAATATTTCGTTAGTGCGTCAAAAATGACCCCAAAACGGATACACTGTACCTCAAAAAGAGATAGACGTGGTGTTACTTTTTGCTGCAGAGTCAAGCACTAACGGAGCACTAACGATTGGCACAAAACATTTTGTTAGTGCTTCCAAAGTGTGAAGTTGGCTCGGAAAACGGGCACTCTGCACCTCAAAATATGGTTATACACTGCCTTTTTTGACCGCCGAAAAAAAAATTGTCTCAGATCGATCCGGAAAAAAATTTTCTTATAGAATGTGGCCCGTAGAATCCATAACTTCAAACAGTTCCAAGATTGGGCAACTAGTTCAAAAGTTACAGCCCTTTCAATTTTCTTTCGAAATTGGTTTCTAGTCCATAACTTTTCATTGAGAAGTCCGATCGAAAAAGTACGAATTATTTTGGATTCTATGCACCAAAATTAATAAGAAAAAGTGTTTTCCCGAGAAATTTTGGTGCAGTCGATTTTTGATAAAAAAGGAAGGTTATACACTGCCTTTTTTTGAGCCACGAAAAAAAAATTGTCTCAGATCGACCCGGAAAAAAATTTTTCTTACAGAATGTGGCCTGTAGAATCCATAATTTCAAACAGTTCCAAGATTGGGCTTCTAGTTCAAAAGTTACAGCCCTTTGAATTTTCTTTCGAAATTGGTTTCTAGTCCATAACTTATGATTGAGAAGTCCGATCGAAAAAGTACGAATTGTTTTGGATTCTACGCACCAAAATTAATAAGAAAAAGTGTTTTCCCGAGAAATTTTGGTGCAGTCGATTTTTGGTAAAAAAGGAAGGTTTATACACTGCCTTTTATTGAGCCCCGAAAAAAAATTGTCTCAGATGTAACTTGCTTTATTTTGCGGACCTCGATCGTTTCCGCAGAAATCTGCTTATTACGAAATATAGTGCTTTTCCCAACTTAATATTTTCGAATTTTTGCAAAGGTGGCTAGTTTTTCGGGGAGAGCGTCATGTTATAGTGAGCTATGAAGTACTACCCCTAAAGGTTCGGCCAAAAACATTATGATATTTTTATATTATTAAGGATCTTATAACTGCCCATCGATTATCCAATAGTGTACCGTTTACTTTAAACCTTCGTGCGTTGTCCCTTCTCCTATATTGTAGATAACCGTCAACGTTAATGTTGGTTTCATCACAAAACTCGTTCAGGAATTTTTGTTGTACAAATCCACAGTCTCTTATCGTGTCCATGCAGGGAACTCGCCTCGCCACATGGGCGTTGCATCGTTAGGTGATTTGGTACAAAATATTTCGTTAGTGCGTCAAAAATGACCCCGAAAACGGATACACTGTACCTCAAAAAGAGATAGACGTGGTGTTACTTTTTGCTGCACAGTCAAGCACTAACGGAGCACTAACGATTGGCACAAAACATTTCGTTAGTGCTTCCAAAAATGGTGTGAAGTTGGCTCGGAAAACGGGCACTCTGCACCTCAAAATATGGTGCACGTGCTGGGTTTCTTTTTCGTGCACTAACGAAGCACTAATGACTGACACGTAATATTTCATTAGTGCTTCCATTACCTTATATCTCCAGAAAACAAGTGTGCCGCTGTGTGCAATGGCAAACGATCAGTAAGCCTCCCACAAAACACCTGTCCAAATTAAGAATTTATAATTATATTTTTTCCTGTACACGTCCGGAATGCAGGGGTTCGATAGACAACTAAAGGAACCTTAATTACTTATGGTTTGCAATAATCCAATAAATCTGGTCAATAAAACTTCTTATCGCAAAGACCAGACCAAACATGTATCACGCAAATTTGACCAGATGTGTCTTACTTATAGCACCTTATCTAAAGTAAATACTTTGCAAAAGCGATCAAATTAAAAATATCTCACATACAGGGTGGCCCAACCTTATTGAAGACGCTGAAGCCAAAATACGGTTGTGATTGAGGACGATAATTTAAGCAAAAGTATAAGTCGAAATAATCACGTTAACGTACACTTGACAGCATGTTATAATTACACAGTAGCTATGAAACGAAGTGTATTCTGTAGACATGCGATGTGGAACTCAATTAGTCGGAGCCGGTATAACTTGATAAAATTGTGTTCATTTGTATGACAACTTTTAGCGTTTCAATTTCTATTGATTTAGGTACATATTCGTCCATACTCTACGGTGCATAATGCACACTATTCGCCTGAACACGTAACAATGAGATCATAGCAGTATTAGAGTCATTTATTTCTTCTTTGTCGCCATTCAAACTTGATTGATCGAAATTCCTTCGTTTCGTACCAAAATTTGAATAAAACCCGATTCATTTGTAGATAAGAGTTAATTTCATTTCCATTTGCGTGTCTAACAATATTCTCTTATTAGTATTTTTGACCTGAATTATCTATTAATTATTGATTTGGAGAATATACTCAAACCCATCAAACGCGGTGGACCATACGCTTTCGTTGCAGTTATAGTTGTTATTAGTTATCAGATAACTAGAGACAAAGTTGCTTAGGTTTCAGAGGACATAATCCAAATTGCTGTCGCAACAAAAATACAAATACCCTTAATGAATGAAACCTCCTAAATGCGTGGGCTCTGACAGGAGCGACAATTAATCGATTAATCCCCAAAATCTTTATCAATTTAAACGAATATGATAAAAAAAATAGAATTAAACCTTGACAGTAAAGTGAAACAATTTGCATTTTCGCTAATTCTAACGAACTTGCAATTACTTATTTAATTGTCGTCCTATGCACTGCTGCCCATTACATCTTTTCGCTTTCGGTACCTTATTCCACACAGGAGTGCGTTGCCATCTTGCTACCAACGGAGAGACCTCGGGAGAGACGCAATTACAGACTTTCATTATTATATTATACAATGTAAAGACATTGTACCAACACGTGAGTGTATGTCCCATTTGCCACAAATCTATAATGGGAGGTTCTTCATTTTGCAATGGAAATAATACCTAGATCACAGTATCATAGAGGGTAGTTTTTCATCATATTACGTATGCACACAGTTTGACCCACATGATTAGTTTAGAATTTCGAATTTTCATGCGATAGCGAATTGCAGTAAAGTGTTTAAATATGCAATGAAATTGACATTATTCGTTGATCTAGCATTCACCCCGCAGCTCTATTTGAAAATTTCAACGTGCTGTGCAATAACATTGCATATATATAGCAATATGAATAACAATTTAGGTTTAACTTTGATTAATCTGGTTCGTTTCTTTTGCAGCGGAACTACAAAATTCGTTAACGAACCCGCACTGTACGGATGGCTCCGGAAGACCGAGCTCAGTAATAGGAATATTCATCTTTTTACTACTTATTGCAACGCAGTGGAACCACCATTACATCCATTAGAAATTATTAAATTTTTAGCAAAATGTATATTTAACTACTGACGGCACGATTGGTGCTTTTAGGCCGAACCAGCACCTTCTATTAGTAAGTGTACAAAGCGTTGAGTGTTAAACGAGAAGAGAACGTAAAAATGTATTGTAGATATGATTGTGTGTTATGAGAAGTGATCCGGTTTAGATTTCGCTTTCTTTGCCATATAGGATGTGCTTCAGGCTTATAACGCCGTAGTTCTTACTCACCCGGCCTAAGACAGGTGGCTGCAATGCGATCGGAATTGTATCGCTTTTAAGAAGTCCACGCTAACGTTTTTTACAATTAAAGGAAATAAAACACACGTTGACAGATTCGACTACGAATAGACAGACTGAATAATCTGCAGAGGTGACGGAGTATGCTTCTTAGCAGTTCAATATTAGGGCCTACTTCTTGTTACTAGCACACTGTCACTATTAGTCTTAGGGCTGTGCATCCGATGACATCGGATTTTCAAAGCTTTTGTATTAACGAGGTCAATATTTAAATATAATGAATAATCTCCCCGATATCATCAAAACTACACATTTTAGTTCGTCTTATTTGTGAAATGTAAATTTCTTCATCGCCATTATCCTACCTACCATCGTGAAGTATTTTATGTTCGTTCTCTTGCCATTCACTTTTTAAAATATTTAAATTAGAAACGAATATATTGAAATGATGTATATTTTGTTAAACACATCAACGTAAATTTCCCCAACGTATCGGAAAAACATGCTTTTCAGACGTTCCATTTGCTACTACACTACGAGCGTTCGCTGTTGCGGAATGATACTTAATTTTCTATGTTGTCCTATTTGAAACATGAAAGTATTATGTCTTCCACGATCAAAAGGTGTATGAATTTGAAATTAAGCTCGTTTCTTGGGTGCCAACATTCTGTGATGCAAAACTCCTCGTTATTGTACTACATAATAGACTTAAATATTATTCAAAACCTCGTTTGGATAAAGGAAAGCAATTATTTGAGTAACCATTTAAAGCTCGACAGATTAAAATAACACGTGCTTTCCGATGAAACTATATAGGGTAGTCTTAAATGGAAATCTTGTAATTTATAGAACCACTTGGGGAAATCAGAACCTCAACTTTTGAGCCAATCCCTCACCAGCTAGATGGTCACAGTATGTTCCTCCACTTCATTCGTGTTACCTAAATAGTCGCGGACATACAAATCAACAATTGCACATCAAATTATCACCACAATAGAATATAGTAAAAATAATATTAAGTATTATATACATATCATAAAATAATATTGTGTCATTTGTACAAAGTGAATGCTAAGAGAACGTGTGCCAATTTACTTTCTTTCAAAAAAGGAATCTAGTCGCTACTTATCTTTGCTGCCTTATAATTCATAATAAACTAATAACAAATAGTCGACAAATAACTATTTCTCTATATCTATACTCTAATTAACCTAATGTTGTAGGATTAGTTTTCTAGTGCCTCCGCAAATGTAGTATTAGCGAACTTGCGCGACGCGCTGCGGAAGTGCAACAACAAAATCTCTAACAATAAATTAAGCGCGTTTCTCGAGATCGCCATTGTACTTAAGTTCGCCCTGCGTTCACTAATACTCTAAACATATCCAGATGATGGTGCAAATACGGGAATAAGGAAAACAAATTACTCGCAAAACTGTACATACACTTTATTTGTGTTTGATACGTTGTAGATATTCTACATCAACTGCCATTTTAAAGGGCAAAAGTGACACACGTGCAATACTAAAGTTATAATTTTTCCTCGCCCCGCTTCAATAATAGCACTATTGCGCCTATAATTGTAGAAAACTAATGTAACCGAGGTGTTAATTTTAGCATTACTAGGGCGAAAAAAGCAAAAGCTTTTACATTACTAAACTTAATCGTAAAAAAGCAGACGGGGATGCAAATGCGAAATGGCGGGTTACGCTCGTAAAATAATGTGAAGATAGAGCACGCCCAACATGAGCCTTTGGCACCACTGTTTGCCATCGACCATTAAAAATAACTAAATATAACTTGTAAATTTTGTAATGTTGTAGTTCGTCGATGCGAGGCGCTCGACGTAACTAGGCTATAGTTGTTTTGCCATTTAAGTCGTATTTGATTTTACTCAATTACATACATTTTATACCTAAAGATGTCTGTAGAGGAAACATCGAAACGCAACATAATTACCTATACACACTGATCGTATTTACTTGTTTAAAATCAAATACGTTTGGTGTTCCAAAAAAAAGGACATATCAATTTAGTTAGGCTATAGAATATAACATATCCTTGCTTACCGAACACCCTGTTGTGAGATGACTTTTTTCTGTTGCTTAGAAGATCCATGTAAGCCAGCTTCTACGCAATAGTTAAAAGGCAGTGAATGTATAAAAATTGGCTTGCCTAATTCTTCCCGTCCTGTAAGGGACTTCATTTTCAGTACTAAAATAAAAAAAATAGGTTACTAATTACAATTAAAGCCTAAATAAAACAGCGAATAATTTTGTTCTTTTTTATTTACATAGTGTTTTTATGTAAGTAGAGATATATTGTAGGAATATATACGCAGCCAAGTGTTAATTATGTGCAATTATATAAGTTTGTTATGTTTATCTATGTATCGAGAAAATGCTTCTGTTATTACATTGTAAAATATTATTATATTTCAAATACGATTGTTGTAGACCACTAGGTCGGTTATTATTATTAATTATTATTATTGATTAAACTCAATTAAATAAACTAATGCTTGTACATAATATATAAAATGAGGGTTTACCTTTTTCAGCTTTCAGCATTATTATGGGAATGCCACGAAGAGAGCCAATCAATGTATAGATTGAGACTAAACAATCAATCACTCTCTACAACCAGTTTATTGCAAAAACCCAATTGGCACAAGATGAAGAAATGGTTTGATATTGCCTATATTTTGCATAGTGCGTACTTGATGTAAATGAGCAAATAGAGAAGAGTAGAAATTTCATTAATTTCTCGGATACACCTCCTATAAACTTATTTTAATGTGGTTTATTTATTATTTTCTTTCTTATTTTGTTTTCTAATCTCTCGATATAGATCAACGATAGAGGAAGCATCAATTGCTAATATTATTAGGTACCTCTGTCGGAAAAAAGATGTTTTTATTGATCTATGATGGTGAGTATTTATCTGAGGTACTATTTATGGTTAATGTATTTTGTTAATTTATAATTTATTGTTATCATACTTTTCTAATTTGTTAACAGTTCTAAATGATTATACCTTTATTTGGTTTTTGTTTTTATCGAAGCTTTTGTTTTTTGGAGTAGTTCATTTTTTGGTTCGGTTTAGTTTACTTTTATTGTAAGAACTAAATTGTATAGTCAGAGTTTTGTGCATTAAGGGCCGGTGCTTTAATGATTGGTTAAGGTGGTTAGTGGTGATTATGATTCTAGGTAGCACATGTTGAAACAATTCTCAATTGGATCTGAATATCAAACTAATTTTGGAACAAAAAAATAACTTCAAACTGTGGGATCAATCGATCAATATATGAATAGAAGTAGGCATTCAAAATAAGGGATGTTTTCCAAGAGTGCTAGACCTTCCAATTGCGGTGGCTGTGAATCAGCCGTTGCCATTGTTAATATTTATGTTCAGTGAAGTTTGGCATACAATTCTGAACAGGTTCACGCTGAAAAAACTGAAATTGCTGCAACCGCTTAAATTAAATTTTAAAACCTCATATTATCACACTTACCCCTAAAGATATACACAAACAACAAATTGCTAACCTTAAAAGCGTTCCTATTGAGCAGTAGTATAAACATGTACCTTTAAAACTGTAAAATTACGCTTATGGATGATTTACGCTGTTAAAAATATAAAGCGAATGAGTTCAATTGAACAATCACTGTAATAACAATCCCTCGTGCGTAGTAATGAACCCTTAATAATTTAGGGTGGCATTGAATTATTGAAAGATCTTCCTTGAGATTTTAGAATGACTTACACTTTACTCATACTTAACTGTAAGAATTCTTACACTATACTTGTACTTATAGCGCGTTCGCACCTCCAAATGCAGTATGGGGTCTTATGGACTAATTGCCTCTCTTACTACTTAGTTTGCGTCATTCTTCGATAATACTATCCTTGTTTATAATAAATTGAAGTATTAAAACAATACATAATCTCCTTGTGCTGTCATTGTCACGTTTGGCAAGCATGTACTGTATGTTCATAAGCACCATACTGCATTTGGAGGTGTGAACGCGCTATAGCAATATTTTGCTATTCAAAGAAATATTTGCCAAAGTGACACATGACCTTAGTGCTATAGCACAGATATACATTGTAGTAACGCTCGAAATACGGATAGTTAAGTAGGAGTACCAGCAGTAAATATAAGTTCCACTTAAACTAAACTAAGTCATATTGTTTACTCAGAAAAATTGAATAATTTGACCAGTAGTATAACACGACCCTTGAAAAATGTAGACAAAAATGTCGAGTAACAATATGGATATGAATCTTAAATATGAATTAAAAAACCTTCATTGTCTTCATCCACAATAAGTACCTACTAGACCTTCAGTCTTTGTCAATTTTTGGGCAATTGCGTTGAGAACGCACTAAAAAGAACTAGAGGTTTTTAACAGATTTATTTACGATCGAGCGATACACTTTTTGTGTATTTACACTTACGGTCGAAAAACTGGTGGGAAAAGTTGAATCATGTTCAGAGTCCGATAAGAGAAACTGTTGTTACGGCGTGTTTTATCAATTTTATAGTTGTGTCCGTGCACTGATTGGCTCCGTGTGTTATAGTTTTTAGATGGATTTTAGTAAGAAGTACGAAAACCCAAGTCCCGAAGTGAAAGCAAATCCTATCTCAAAATTGTTCTTCTGGTCAGTATCCCTATCCCATTTGATCGCCAAACTCGCTGAGAATTTATAATTTGCAAAACCTCTAGCTAGGGCCAGGATAATTTTTCCCCAATACTGAACTCGTTCAGACCCACGATGACTTATTTTCTAAGGGTTTTTCTGTTCATCGACGTGGTTGTACACATTTTTATATCGAGAAGTTTAAGAATCGGTGAAACCTACTCTAAATAGATAAAAACTAATCGTAGAACTATTGTGAAATTTGCTTTTCATACTACACTTTTTATCGGCTCTAATTTGACTATACGTTATTAAATCTACAATTTCCCTTTTGTGTTCAATCTACAAGTCTAATCCAAAATCCCTTACAATTAAAGAGACGCGCGCCTTCTGAAGCCGGTTTTGATCGCCACTATCATTATCTACAGAAAATAGTTTATCATAAAGGCTACTGACATCTGCACCTTTAGGCTTGCTCTGTGATAAATTGCTCCCGTAAGTGCAACATGCACCTGGAAGGAAAGGTTTCGTACATAAATACCTTCAACATAAACTTCATTTTACTGTTTTTTGGTATAAATCGTAAACCTTTCCAATATTTTGCCGTTTTGTGTAATGTGGGTAATGGGTTTAAACGGGTTCGTTTCTTACACTGATGCAATTGCTAATTATATATATACATTCTTGCCTAACATAACAGTTATTTATAATAGAAGACGATAAAGGGATATTTTCCGTTTATCGTCGTGTATAATAAAAAACTTTATTTTATAGCAGAAGCAATATACAGGCCGTTCGTCCTAAGGTGGCGAACGGTCGTTGTGCGCAGTGGTTCAGATTCAAATTTAAACTTGCAACGCACCAGTGGCGTCTGCAAAGAATTTTTACTTTAGGTAGCATTGTTTCTCAGGAAATTAATGCCCTCAAATGGATAATAATTATGCAAGAATGACACTTTTACTCATTGTGATAACTGATAATGATAACTTGATGCCTTGTTTTCGAAAGTAAATAGCAAAAAAAAGGGTCGCCGCCACTGGTGCCTGCAAAAGCCAGAGCTCGGGATCTCTAACGGACTCTCGGGATGCGCCGGTTTCCGCCACCTTAGGACGAACCACCTGTAAATCATTGTAAAACTTCTGACAATTCTGAATTTAATTTAGGGACGTCCAAAATAGTAAGCTTAGGTTCTGCCTTCGCGATCGTTGCTATAGAAACAGAATTGTCATATGTTCTGAACGTCATTTTATAACATGCATTTGAAATAATAATGACAGATGTCATTAGACATAGTTCAATGGAATGCACATGCACAATCATTTGTTTCATTTTATCTACCCATACGATTAAAGTGGTCACTTTATCTATCCTTACGGTTAAAGAACGGTTTCAAACCTATTAAAATGTCATTTTAACATGTGCTATAAAATAAAAAATCTAATTATAGCGGACTAATGGTCAACAATAATAAATTAATAGCGTATTGGAAAGGTTCAGAAAAAATAATCCATTTTCTCACTGGTTATAATTAAATTTTTAAAAAGCTACCGATAAACTGAGTCTCATTGTTCTGATGTAGTATTTTATTTTAACTTTATATCAGATGTTAAACTGACATTTTAAACGGTTTGAATGAGTAGGCTAAGTCGCTGTTTAACCTTGATGGTACATAAAGGACTTTAACCGCAAGAGTAGATAAGTAAAACCGATAATTATGTATTCTAATGACTTTTGTCATTCTTATTTCAAATGGGACGTGGAGCACGATATAAAATGACGTACAGAACAGATTACAATGCTATTTTTATGGATACGATCGAGACGGCAGAACCTAAGCTTGCTATTTTTCACGTCTAAATTAAATTCAGAATTGTCAGGAGCTTTACAATTATTTTTCCAATGTCGACACGTTTTTATTGAATTTAATCCCTAATTTTTGGGCATTAAAAGGTAATTTTAATCCCTAGGGATTAAAAAAATGTTAATCCCTCATTTTTGATTTCCTGTAAAACAATCAAAAAGTACCTATTCATTTTCTTTATTTTCAGAACAGGTAATATGAAAAGCACAATTTATAAAAGGCCTTAGTGTACATGCAGCTCTTCCTATATAATGCCAAATAAGTGAGTTCTTCTCCACCTCAACAATGGTAAAAACTCTTGACTTTTAGTTTTTGTGTCTGGAATTCTAACTACCACCATCGATTCTCCATCTTCCATGTAGTCTACGTTCATTTTTAACAATTCCTCTGATCTGCAAGCTGCAACTTCCTCCAATATCCATAATTGTCACAATCTACAACCACAAACTTTGGAAGCATGAGCATGCAATATTTTACACAAACTAACCTTTATCAGCAAGTGACATCTTAGAGGATGAAAGAAGCGCCTTCATATGCTTCGTCTTTCGTCTTCAATATTTTTAGAAGGGTTTACAGGCATGATTTTACCAAATTCAGATTCAGATCGTTCGGTATTGGAAAAAATAGTGTAAGTAACACTGGATTAAACTAGTTTTTGTTCCCTCAAGAATATTAAAGCCCTCGGCAAGCCTCGGACTTTAAACCATTCTTTCAGGAACAAAAACTTTTTAATCCCTTGTTACTTAATATACTATTGTTATATGGTTTCTGCTATAAAATAAAGTTTTGTATTATACACGACGATAAAGAGAAACTACCATCTCGTGAAGGTTAATTCACGCAGTGCAACGAGTAATTTAAATGCAAATGGAATTGGCTAGAGTTGATGGAACCCTTATAGATTAAATTTCACCTACTCGATTTTTCTGCAGTTAATATTTATTAATCTCTTCTTTTTTAGCTGGGTACTGCCATTATTTTACAAAGGATTTAAAAAAGATTTAGAAGTTCAGGATCTCTACAATGTAAACCAATGTGACTTATCGTCAAAACTAGGAAATAAAATTGAAAGGTGAGAAGTTGTAACAACTTGCGTACTTTAATGGTATTTTGTAGGTACTGGGAAGACGAATGTGAGAAGGCAAAGAGGGAAAACAAAAAACCCGAATTCACTCGGGTGCTTAGGAGAATGTTTATGAAACCGTATTCTTTGTATGGTGTCGAGCTATTTTTCCAGTGCATGGTTTTAAAGTGCGCTTTTTTCCGTAGTTAATAACCGTTATAATCCAAACGTAATTATTGCAGAATGGCGCAACCATTAGTACTAGCGAAATTCATAAAGTACTTCGAATCGCCGAGAAATGACCTTTACGATGGTTGGTTATGGGCGACGGGTGTGATTGGTATGGCATTTATCAATGTTGTAATTACGCATCATGCTGCACTTGGGCAGGCACGAATTGGGATGCAGTGCAGAATTGCTACCTGTTCTCTGATTTATAGAAAGGTGGGACTAGTAAACTTTTCAGGGCGCTTTCTACAAAAGTAATTGCAGGTGCTTCGTTTAAATAAAGCTTCGACTAACAATACAACCGTGGGACCAGTGGTCAATTTGTTATCAAACGATGTGCTTAGATTTGATTTTGTACCGCTATTTTTGCATTACATCTGGATAATGCCTCTGCAAGCGATAGTTGCAGGTATTATTATGTATGACAGTATTGGATGTGCGGCTTTTGCTGGACTGGCAGTTCTTACCATACAAGCAGTGCCCTTGCAAGGTTTTGGAATAGCAAATGCACGTTTTAAGCCTACCTGTATTTTTTAGGATACTTATCTTACTTACAAGGGAAACTTAGACTTAAAATAGCCAATCACACAGATTACAGAGTCCAGCTTATGAGTGAAATTACGGCCGGAATACAAGTCATCAAAATGTACGCTTGGGAAAAACCATTTGAAGAAATGGTTAAGGTCGCTCGAAAGTAAGTAAGTGCCTTCTTGCACTCAATTTTGTAAACATAACGTTGTAGGTTAGAAATGGACGTTATGGCTAGAACATCTTATATCCGTGGTTTTTTAATATCATTAACAGTCTTCAGTGACCGTTTCTCTCTATTTTTGACTATTGTAACTTACGTACTTCTCGGAAATGCTTTAACTAGTGATAAAGTTTTTTCAATGGCGCAGCTTTTCAATACCGTTCAATCGTACATGGTGGTACTTTACCCGTTTGCGATGTCGTTCTTCGCCGAAGCAAAAGTGTCAGTAGAAAGGGTTGAGGTACAAGTTCGAAGAAAAAATTTAATGTTGCATACAATTTTCTAGAAATTTCTTTTGCAAGACGAAGTACACACAACCCAAGTATCGAGCCGAACAACTAATATTGACGGGTCCGTACAAACTGGTTTGATCAAGATTAGTGGGGCAAACGCAAATTGGGTACCCGACCCCATAGCTGATACTTTGAGTAACATAAATTTGACCATCGCACCTGGGACACTGTGTGCTGTTGTGGGGACAGTAGGCGCCGGAAAAAGCTCATTACTAAGCCTAATTGTGAAAGAACTTCCCCTAAATACTGGATTGTTAGAGGTACACGGAAGTGTATCATACGCCTCACAAGACCCTTGGCTTTTTACATCAACAGTTCGCAATAATATTCTTTTTGGGTTGCCATATATAACAAATAAATACAAAAACATCGTAGACGTATGCGCTTTAAAGAAAGATTTTGAACTACTTCAAAATGGCGATCGAACTTTAGTTGGAGAAAGAGGAGTGTCGTTAAGTGGTGGTCAAAGAGCACGTATTAATTTGGCCCGTTCAGTCTACAGAGAGGCTGATATTTACTTATTTGATGATCCTTTATCTGCCGTCGATGCGCATGTTGGAAAACATCTTTTTGATGAATGTATAGTAAAGTATTTAAAAGGCAAGACCAGGATTTTAGTTACTCATCAATTGCAATTTCTGAAACAAGTCGATACTATAGTGATAGTTAATAATGTGCGTATGAAATTTGTTCAATATTTAGTGACTGTCTCAAGACAGTGTGGCCATTTGATATGCTCCATGTCCGCCATATTTTGTCGAAATTTATCGGGAATTACATATTGAACGATTTCACCGGAGTGGTAGATTTTATTGCCACAATTGTTTCCAGGTTACTTTGTACCAATACGGCCTATTTGGTTAAAACATGGTGGATATTCCAGCTATCAATAGAAAATAATGTGTTGATACAGTCTTGTCGTCCAGAAAAGTTGTCAGTGTGATGCATATTACCACACACCCATGCCAGTACGGTAAAAATTCGAAACAATGTTACTTTCACACTAACTAAAATGTCAAGATGCCATAAACATAAGCGACGGACGTATAGGGGTCGAATTTCGAGTCAGTACGTGTCGTGTACAACCCTGTAATAATATTCAAATTCTCCGATGACTTGCCTACCTGTACGAAAATTATTCAGATTCCTTTCCCATGATATTAGGTAGTGCTCGCAAAAAAAATAGATTAATAAACTAGAAACGGATTTTGTACCTTTTTCGCCGTGGAAGATACCTTCTGGGATTGTGATTAGTTTTATGCCACCCTGATATATTACTCATGGAGATATGTTTTCACACTTTCTGCTTTTCTTCTGGTAGACAAAGCCACACTGGTGGAACTTACATACATGTCACATGTGGCTCTTTGTATAATAGTATTTCAAACATTTTAGGGAAAAATAGAAAAAATTGGAACTTATGATGAATTACTAAACGAGGAGTTGGCCCACTTGCAATTTGAAACGCACGAAGAATCAAATACAACTACGCCAACTTTAGTGGCGGGACATTTGCGGCGAGAGGTGCGTATGAATTCATTCTTAATGAAATAATTTGCGGAAGTTCCGAATTAGAACAATGCTGACAAAGATGAAGAAGATGAACCGCAAGAAACCCAAGAGTTGGTGGAAAAAGGTGCTATATCATCTTCGTTGTATTTGGAATATGTGCGGGCAGGAGGTCCAATCGTATTGTTGCTGTTTTGCTTATTTATGTTAATTATTTCTCAAGTAGCTAATAATTCTACAGATATTTGGTTATCAAAATGGTAAGATTTTTTTAATTTCAAAATTAACCACCCTGATTTATCTTTGGAATACGGTCAACGTATGTTCGTAGACTTTTTCGTTATGAAGGGGGGCACAAAAACAGTTTTTTTTTAAAATCGGACCATTCGTTGTGAAGTGAAGGCATTTGGTAAAATTAAACACTGTTGTCAAAGTTTGTCAAAGTTAAAGACCAAAATTACAACATGTTTCATATTTCTAGGACAAATGCGAAAGAGAAACACAGCTTACTCGCCGTACCGGTCGAAACATTAGTTTCAACTATACCGCCAAACCTAGTTCTTAAAATTAGAGACAATAATACTATGGAACAATCTCACAGCACAACTACCACAATGGTCGAAAATGTATATTCCGATTCAACTTATATGTACGTTTACTCGGTGTTGATTCTATCATCAATGTTGTTAACCACGCTTCGTTCGATGCTGTTTTTCAAAATTTGCATAAACGCATCCAAGAATCTACACAATATTATGTTTAGCAACGTTTTAAAAGCTAAGATGAGGTTTTTTGACACCAATCCATCAGGTACTACATACCATCTTTAACCTCAGTTGTGACATTCAAGATTTCAGGTAGAATCTTGAACCGTTTTTCAAAAGACATGGGGGCAGTTGATGAAATACTTCCCAGAGCGATATTGGAAACAATTTATATATTTATGGTGTTGACTGGAATACTCGTAATAGTATTTCTAGTGCAACCGTGGATGATAGTCCCTACTGTCATATCGGCGATTTTCTTTTATATAGCAAGGGTAATTTATCTGGCTAGTGCTCAAAATATTAAACGTATAGAAGGAATTAGTAAGTAATTTTCAGTAGATAAATAATTGGTACGTTGACATTATAGCGCGCGCTCCTGCCTTCTCGCACGTATCAGCCGCACTTTCGGGATTAGCGACAATAAGATCATCAGGCGCTGAATCTATGATCATCAAAGAATTTGACTCAATACAGGATCAGCACACATCGGCTTGGTTTCTCTTTTTAACTACGAGCGAAGCTTTCGGTTTCTATTTGGATCTTATTAGCGTTATATTTCTAATAGTTCTGACATTCCAATTTCTAATTTTTAACGATGGTAGATACATTAACGCGCGAAGCAATTCATAATTGAGGATTTTAGAAACAACACTCGGTGGCGACGTTGGTCTAGTAATATCACAATCACTAACTTTAACTGGTCTACTGCAATATGGAGCTAGGCAAACTGCAGAAGTTGCGAGTCAAATGACCAGTGTAGAACGAATTGTGCAATACATACGTGTGGATAAAGAGGAGGCACTTTCATCGAAAAAACCTGAGAGAGATTGGCCAAAACGTGGAGAGATTGAATTTGAAAACGTAAATTTGTCATATATTGGCGGTGAACCCGTACTGATCAATTTATCTTTTACTGTTAAATCTGGAGAAAAGGTATAGGTTGGACCCTACGTATAGATGAATAGATTAAATCACTTTCAGATTGGAATCGTGGGCAGAACCGGAGCAGGGAAATCATCCTTAATAGCAGCTTTATTTCGATTAGCTTCGACGGAAGGTGCAATTAAAGTAGATGGTGTGAATATTGGTGATATTGCCTTGCATGATCTGCGTAGCAAAATTTCAATTATTCCACAAGAGCCAGTACTATTTTCAGCATCACTAAGGCAAAACTTGGATCCATTAAATGAATGTGATGATAACGCACTGTGGACAGCTCTAGAAAATGTAGGCGTGCAAGGTGGAACTTATATTAAAAAGGTATCTTCTAGGTTGAAATGAAACAAATGGTAGATGATTTGAGCATGGAAGTCAAGCAGGGAGGTTCGAATTTTAGTATTGGACAAAGGCAATTACTTTGTTTAGCACGAGCGATAATTAAAAATAATAAAATTTTAGTTATGGATGAAGCTACAGCAAATGTGGACCATCAGTGAGTACACAAAACCCTAATACCCATCATTATATTTCTCTCCTTAGAACTGATTCCTTAATACAAAACACTATTAGACGCAACTTCAAAAACTGTACAGTATTAACTATAGCTCATAGATTAAATACGGTTATGGATTCCGACAAAGTGCTGGTAATGGATGCAGGTGAAGCTGTTGAATTCGGACACCCACATGAACTTCTTCAAAATCTGAACGGTCACTTTGCGAATATGTTGAAGGAAACAGGAACAGCAATGGAAAATAAACTACGTCGGATAGCTGAAAATTCTTATAAGCATTAGATTTGGATAAAAATAAAGCAATCTCGTTTCATGAACGTTTTCCATTAAACACTCAAGAAATTTTGTAAGGGGTTCAACTAATTTTATTGATATAGGGTGTCATTTAAAGTTTTGGATCGGGGATGGCTAGGGCGACGAATCTTGGGATGGTATACCATATATGTGCTATTAATTTCCCCCCTACTTCCTTAATCATACCTATACCAAAATTTCAAGTCGAAAAGTTTTAAAACACCAAAAATTTCATTTTCACACAGACCCCTTTTCCTAACAGCTTAAATAATGGGGTAATTTGCCTCCATAAACAAATAACAATCTGGTACCTAAATGGGAGAACTTCGAAAATTCATCTGGCTCAAAAATAAATTCCCCCAATTAAGTAATATTAAAGTAGACATAAACACGTTTAGGAGTCTTTTTAAAAGTTAAGGTAATTGATTTGGTATAAATAAACTGAAATCGAAAACAAATTCTACAGTGCCCTTAACATACCAATATTATCCTTTATAATTTTCACTAGATTGAATCCTCGTATTAGATTGAGCCCAAGTCACGACCCAGGAGTTTAAGAGCTAATGTTAATTGTTTTTGTGAGTTCCTGAAATTAATTGAACTAGCTTGACAGGTGTTTTGTAGGTGGATTAGTGATCATTTAACATTGCTCACGGCATTTTTATTTAGCGCTCAACGTGGGGCACACAGCAATATATCACTTTGTGCGGAAAACTTCGTAATTGTTTAATTCTGCAAAATCTACCAATTCGGTAAAACCAATTAGCTCAATGGTAAATTTTGGAAAAACATGCTAAAAATGGAGCATACTGTATAGAGACAGTATATCCATACGGTGCGCCAATTTTTTTTCAAATTTATCATTGATTTCATCTACTGCATTTCTATTCCTTAGTTCGTTTTAGTTCCTCCATTGTGACGAACTTCGGTAGGAAGTCCGCTCACTTATGGCATGAAAATTAAACAATATAACTAGCGGTATCAAAATTTAAATTTAATTAAAAGAAAAATATATACATTTACAAATGAGTCGAACTAAAACACACCAGCGGGCCAAAGTACTGGCAGTCGGCGGCAACTTTGATGTGATGGCGGAATGGACGGACGGGCAAACTCGAGCGCCACCAGAAGATTAAAGTCTTGCTTCTGGTCGGCGGTTTCGGAACGGTCTCGGAGGATTGGCACAATCGGTAGCCAAAGGCAGTCACGTAAAGAAATGGCTTAGTCCAGATTTCGGCGGGTGGTTACGTTCAGGGAAGCAACTGAAACAGAATTACCTCACACGGACACGGTAGCGATTGCCATAACGGGAATGCAAGCAACAAAGCACAAAGTAAGTAGGTAGCGGTAACTACGGGAAAATAAATGCAAGCTCTCCTCTAAACAACGACTTTACCTTTTATAAAATTCGGTCATTTCATGGAGGAACCGACGGTTTCCCAGCCAGCCCAGTATATTCGGATTAGAAGGTCCAAAAGAAAAATTTCTTCAATTAATTATGCGGTCTGCGGATTGCGATAAACATAAAAATCTGTAATTGGTCCTAAAATTTACCTCAATTAAGCGCGCTCCCCTGCAACACATTTAATTAGCTACTGTGTAATTACACTTACGTAATTTGCCGGTTTAAAATTTCCAATTTCGGTAGCTCAGCAATGTCCATTGTTACCTGAAATTTCGGGTCAGTCAAGCAAATATTGCTATAAGATAAAAGATGCCGTTCTACCAGAGGTGACTAGCCAAAAAGATTTAGGCATCACAGTTACCAACGACATGCGCTGGACCGCTCAAACTAATATTGCCTACCGAAAAGCTACTAGTTCTCTATAAAAGAATATTTCCCAATCCCGATCCTAAAATGTTGAGACATTTATACTGCACCTACATCAGACCACACATTGAATTTTCCGTAACCGTTTGGCGGCCACTCCATAAAGGGGACCTCGTGCTCTTTGAGAGGTTGCAGCACGCAGCAACAAGGTGGAATCTAAGTTTGTCGGCTTTGTCATACGATCGCAAACTTAAAAGTTTAAACTTGCCTACTGTGACCGATAGACTGAACAGGGCAGACCTCATCCAAATTTTTAGAATTAGTCACGATCAATTCCCTGAAAATTTGCAAAACTTTATTAAAATTATTAATTTAAGAAATTACTTGATTCCAATTAAATACGATGATTTTATAATATAGCAAAATTTGCATAAGTGGAACCTAATTCCTCTGCAAATTGTCTAGATTTAATAATAATAATAATAATCACAACCGGTCTGCGATAATGAAATAAACTGCACGAGGAGAGGTTTCTCAATTTCTCATTACCGTATGTACCTACTTCACCTCACAACAGTAACGAACGAACTAAAAATTCCAACAAATTACACACAGACTTTATTTGGATATAACTAATTTTGCTCCAGACATTGAATTTTACTCGACGATTTTAAGCAGATTTATGCGATTTTTGTTACAAACAAATATAAAAGGCACCACGACTGATTTAAAAAATGGATATATCCGGTTTTGCATGCGAACTCCTCGAATGACCTTAACAAACCAGCACTGGATATTTGTACTTTATGGACTTGTGGGAAACTTGAGCAATTTTTATCATTATTCACTATGATCTCATCAGGTTGACTTTGTGCCATTTTACGCGACAGTAGAGTGCAAAGATGAACATTTCCTCAAATGTTTAGTTAAACTGAGTTCGTTATCACACCAACTTATTATCTTGCCGCACTTCCCAGTGGATAATTATTCAAAACATACTCTCGTAGCTCGCCAATTGTGTGCGTGATTTTCGATCTGCACCTACTAAGATGGATTTTAGTAAGAAGTACGAAAACCCAAGCCCCGAAGTGAAAGCGAACCCGATTTCAAAATTATTGTTCTGGTAAGCAAGTGAAATAAGCCTTTATTCACCCAATGTCGCTCAAAACGCGCGTGTTAAAAATGACCCGCGAACCTTCAACTTTTGATTACCCGAAGTTATGAAACTTTTTTTTACATTCCTATCACTGAACACGCCTGACTACTAACACAATTGACTTGATTGTGATATTAATTAATTATGCCGTTATCAATAACAATTTCCTGCATATAACAATTTATACAGTTGCTTGTTGATATCCGCAACGACCCAATTGGGAGTTTCTCCAGATTTAACATTTATTGGAAAAGTTTGCAAATGCCTATCAATACAATCTTGCTTCACTACTGTACTCTTATGTTATCTAAACTAAAAATACATAATGAACACATGCGTATATTACTTATTGTAATAAAGCAAATAAAATTAATATTTTAATAATAGGTTTGAATCATCAGCGTCTCTTTGACTGTAAGAGTAGATAAAGTGATCACTTTTAACGGCAAGGGTACTTAAAATGAAACAAATCATTATGGATTCCAATGACATTTGTCAATATTTTAAAAAATGGGACATGGAGCGCTAAATAAACCGAAGTTCAGAACAGAAAATTGTTTCCATGGAAACGACGGAAGACCGTGAATTAGCTTTTGTAGATCTTAAATTGGTGCGGAAGGTTGCGGATTTTGACAAACTTTCTCTTAAAATCAGCTTCATCAAAAACTATTGATACACAACTTGATACTTAAGGCACAAATTAGTGTAATGTGAGTACAAGATACAAAATAGTTACTTAAAAAAAAGTATTATTTTAGAACTGTGCGTTACCCCGTTATCGGTGCGTGGGTGTGGGTCTTTTTAAAAGTGAAATTTCATACCCTTTTCAAATAATCGTATGATAACATTCAGTTTACATTGGAATATTGTAACGGAAGCTCGTTCAAAGATAGAGACTATCTTATATCCGCTTTCGATTTTTTCTTTTTTGTTCTTTATCGGTTCTTTTCCTTTTCTTAATGCAGTTAGGTTTGTTTGGTATTCCCCGTGTAGCGGTGAGAAAGAATTAACCTACTGCAGAGACACTCCATTTCGTGAGAGGCGACTATGAAACGTGGGTTGTACAACGACGGGCGCGGCGTTTGGGAAAAAGGGCAATTTACAGTGGTTAAGGTGAATGTATAGGTTGATAGAAAGTTGGAGATGGATTCATAGGAAGAATTGTGTATCGATTACAAGTGTTAATTGGGTTTAGGACCGTTATTACTGATTTTCGTAGACTTGTTAGCATCTTAAGTATGAAGATCAAGGGACGAATCCAGGGATCGGTTTTCCAGCACGTGGAATAGTGCAGGCTTTCACCTTGCAAAAGAGTCTGTGGAAGAATTGCGTTATGGGATAAATTTTGATGGAAGTACGCTTATATAAATCGTAGATATCCTCATAAGGCATTCTGTGTCTCTTCTCGATAATAATTGGTAGAAATTTATCCTTCGCCGTCCTCGTTACGTGCCAAAAGACTAGATTTCAAATGCGCGTCAAGTGCGATCAAGAGCTCCGAAAGTTCCTCAATCAAATTAAATAGTAACAAAAGCGGAGATAAAAAATTTGTCGTTATTTTTGTCTGTTTTCACATACGCCCCTTAAAATCAAAATTCATAAACTAAGATGAATTTATTTTTTCTTGTCAACTTGGATGAGTTATCTAAAAAACAGGATTTTCCACGTTTCAGTTCGCTAGTGTTAAAGTGTGCGAATGCATGCATTTTTTTTTATTATTAACATATTATTTTAAAAATCAAGTAAAATCAATTAAAATCCTGATTAAAATAAACAGCGTCCAAGGGAGAGTTATTGCTATCGAAATATTGGTTTATACATTTTATAAATTATTGTTTTCTAGTATTATTTATATTAGTCTAATTTTGTACCTAGTTAAAACATAGTTTTCGTTAATTATGATATCACTATAATTAACTTGATTAGCGTATTTTTATAGTGGAAAATGCAAGTAATACTGCTACTTCTGTTCGCCCGTCTAAGGGTTGTAAGTTAAGCACACTTTTTTACTTAATAATTCTCAATGTCTGAGTGGAATCACACATACACGAACCGACTTCATTGATAATTAAACAATTTTAAAATACTAATGCACATTAACTAGGCTCAATTGGGACTTTTTATGTTTGTTCCACCTTCTGTTACTCTTGAGAACTGTTTATAACCACGAGTACATTTGGAAAATAGCATGAAGCACTCGAAAGTTTTGCCACGTTTCATACCTCAAAGCACGGGTTAATCTGTGCTCAAAGCAATTATAAACGTAACGTACAAGAGTCCCTTTGGTAAAATACTTGCATAGGTGTAGGACTTACGGCCAGCAGTATTGATAATCGGATAAGAAGGGCCCTAATGCACCCGATTAATACGCTACCTTTTTCTATGGTATCTTTCCTACTAATCCCAGACCTTTCAGCTGGATAATCCCACTATTTTGTAAAGGATTCAAAAAAGATTTAGAAATTGAGGATCTATACAATGTAAAGAAATGTGACATATCGCAAACATTAGGAGATACAATGGAAAGGTAAGGAAATTCAAATGTCTAATTTGTTGTACTTTGGACTTCTTGTTACAGACATTGGGAGGAAGAATGCCTAAGCGCAAAAACGGAAAGCAGGAAACCCAAATTCATACGAGCGATTAGGAAAATGTTTTTGAAACCCTATTCGTTATATGGCATAGAGCTATTTTTCCAGAGCATCATTTTGAAGTAATAATCAGCTCACACAGCAGAATTGTGGACGTTTTTGTCTCGGCGACTTTATATTTCGTATTTTGTACTATATCAAAAAATGATCATATTCAAAAACACATATTTTTTCTGATATAATTGTAAACTAAAAAAAGTGCGAAAATACTTCTGGAGTTTTCCATTGTAAAACAGATCGCAAGGTAGCAAACCCGAAATTTGGATTCTATACCCCAGAAAACATTTAAGCCGTTGAGAAAAGAACTTCCGTAATTTTAAAACATAGAACTTACAGTTTTACATATTTTGTAGGATGGTACAACCATTAGTATTAGCAAAATTGATAAAATATTTCGAATCTCCAAGAAGTATGGGCCGTTTCGAAGGTTGGGCGTGGGCTATAGGTGTAATCGGTATGGCATTTATCAACGTTATAATCATTCATCGTACTTCACTGGGTCAGCTACGAATTGGAATGCAGTGCAGAATTGCTACGTGTTCTCTAATTTATAGAAAGGTAGCACCTACTACAAATCAGATTTTGATTTTATCTCACAAATAATTGCAGCTACTCCGGTTGAGTAAAGCATCAAATGATAACACAGCGGCTGGACAAGTAGTTAATCTATTATCCAATGATCTTGCTAGGTTTGACATCGTGCCAATTTTTCTGCATTACATCTGGATAATGCCCCTGCAAACGGTAATTGCAGGTGTTATAATGTACAATAGCGTTGGATATGCGGCCTTTGCTGGTCTTGTAGCTATCACCATCCAAGCCGTGCCTTTGCAAGGTTTCTGGTGCTACATTTAAGTATTGCACCCTTACAATATGCTTTTAGGGTACTTATCTTATTTACAAGGTAAACTGAGGCTTAAAATAGCCAATCGTACGGACCACAGAGTGCAACTTATGAGTGAAATTACGGCCGGTATACAAGTGATCAAGATGTACGCTTGGGAAAAGCCATTTGAGGAAATGGTCAGAATTGCTCGAAAGTACGTTAGGAATGCTGCTTGGTTGTTTACCGTCTAACCTTTTATAGGTTGGAAATTGACGTTGTGGCCATTACGTCTTATATTCGTGGTTTGATAGTTGCATTAGCAGTATACACGGAGCGGTTCACACTGTTTTTGACGGTTGTAACTTACGTACTTCTCGGGAATGCGTTAACTGGCGATAAGGTTTTTTCATTGGCGCAGTTCTTTAATACCATCCAAGCATACATGGTAATACTTTATCCGCTAGCGATAGCATTTTTTGCTGAAGCAAAGGTGTCAGTGGGAAGAGTTGAGGTAAATACCTACTATAATAGGGAATTTTACATCTAATCGGATTAATTTACAGAAATTTCTGTTGCAAGAGGAGATACACATAAGCCGATCAGACAAATATGAAGCATTACCAAAAACTGGTTTGCTCAAAGTTAATCAGGCGAAGGCGAGTTGGACACCAAACCCCATAGTTGACACTCTGACCAACATAACTTTAAATATCGCACCCGGAACACTGTGTGCTGTTGTTGGACAAGTGGGTGCCGGAAAAAGTTCCTTGCTAAATTTAATCTTGAGAGAACTCCCCCTTAACAGCGGGTCGTTAGAAGTACACGGAAGAGTGTCTTACGCTTCACAAGAGCCTTGGCTTTTTGTATCTACAGTTCGGAATAATATTCTTTTTGGATTACCATACGAAAGAGCTAAATACAAAAACATTGTGGATAGTTGCGCATTAAAGAAAGACTTTGAATTATTACAAAATGGCGATCGAACTTTGGTAGGAGAACGAGGAGTGTCATTAAGTGGCGGTCAACGAGCGCGCATTAATTTGGCACGGTCAGTTTACAGAGAGGCAGATATTTACTTATTTGATGATCCTTTATCTGCCGTCGATGCGCATGTTGGAAAACATCTTTTTGACGAGTGTATTTTAAAGTACTTAAAAAATAAGACAAGAATCTTAGTTACCCACCAATTGCAATTTCTTAAACATGCCGATACTATAGTGATAATGAGCAATGTATGTAGATTAGTCCAAATTTACTTTTGTGTGAAGTGAGTCAAAAATTTTCAGGGACAAATTGAAAAAGTTGGAACCTACGATGAATTGGTAAGCTGCGAATTGGCTCACTTGCAGTTTGAGAAACAAGATGAAACAGAAAACGTTGACAGCACTACATCAACTGCGGCACTGGTGCGACATTTAAGGCGAGATGTAAGTATAAGTTCGGTTTTCGAAAAATAACTTCCAAAAGTTAATTAGAGCGTAACCGACGAGGACGAGGAGAGTGAGCCGCAGGAAACACAAGAATTAGTGGAAAAAGGTGCTATATCATCTTCACTGTATATGGCATACATACGGCAAGGAGGGCCCGTCGTGTTGCTGCTATTTTTATTATTTTTGCTGATCATAGCTCAGGTCGCTAGCAATAGTGCAGACATCTGGTTAACACACTGGTAAGTTAAGGATTTCCACCTCCTTCAGCAAGGAGGCACCTCTAAAAAAACCATTATGCGGGTCACTCTGTAATTGGGCGCCAGCCTATTGAGGGCACAGAACAATTGGATTGTATTCAAAATAATGACTCGTATTTATGTTTGATGGTATGCTAGACGTGCACAAGAGATTTGCCAATCATTAAACTAAACAAAGTTCTGCTCAGATGTTTAATTGATCTATGAAAATCTCTAATAAATTTCATTCAAATCTTCAGTTGTCATCAGTTTCGGGTGGGATACGATTAAACGCATCCCGAAATTTGAACTCTGTAGTGATGAACAGTGTATACTCGTATACATAAACGGGTTAACATGTAAAAAATTTGAAACAAAATTCAATTATTAACGATCCTCGAGATCGTTTATAATTTCGTATTGCTATCTGTCTGTCCGTCCGTCTGTCCGTTGACACGATAACTTTGTGTAGAAACATCGAATCGCTTTGAAAATTGATACTCATGTCCTTCAGGATATATAAGAAAGGTCGCTATTGTTTTTCGGCTACATAGACTATCGGGTCAAAAAGTTACAGCCCAAAAACTGCCCAAACCTCCAAACAAAGGGTTCCTTTTATAATTCTTGTTAAAGAGCATATGAATGTCCGGTTTTCTGTCAGTAAATATTCCTTAAAGCTCAAGCTATGTAGAATGAATTAAACAAATTGCGCATGCGAAAATCCACTTTTTCTATTTAAATAAAATTTTGTATGTACGCATTTCAATTCTGAAATAAAAGTAAAACTAACGTCGAATAAAAAAAATGGTTTTGCGCATTGGCAATCCGATTTTTTGACATCTCCGTTAGTTATGAACCGAATTACATGACATTTTGTACGTAGGCACCTCGAATAAAAGTAAAACTAATTCCGAATCAAAAATACGCGTGGTCAAGTAAAAAAAAGGGAAAATGGTTTTTACGTATATATCGAGAACAGCGGCCTTTACCAAAAAATCATGGAAAGTTATTTTGTAAATGAATCGATTTGGTACAAAAAAAGGTTGTCGGAAATTTTCATTGTAAGGGCATTTGTTATATATCCAGATTTTTATATGTAAATGTTATAAGGCAATATTACAAAAACGGATCAATTAAAGTACATAGTGGGTATATTCTTTAAAAAATTAATCGGGAAGAAAATCATGCGACGGAAATCTGTATTAAAATTGGTGGTTTTGGGAAACTATGCTGTTGTTTATTTTCACATAAGAAAAAACACACTCAATGAGTCCCCAAGAGAGTGGTATAGATTACAATAAACATGGGAGACTTTTGTCCGAGTACTTTAATTTCAGGGTCGCGCAATGTCATTTTACTGACGAGTTTTGTATTAAATTTTACCTGAAATCGTATTTTAATATAAAATTTCAATTTTTATATAGAAGTTTTCATTAATGTCAATCTGTCAGTGATGACAGGAGTCATTATAGACATTTAGCAATATCACAGGTGCGGCCACGAAAAGTTACTCGCCTTTTTTCACTTGTATACTTGTTTCTCTTGAAGTGGTATTCAAAACTTTTAAACACTTGTTAGTTAGTTATTTTCTATAGTCTCAATTGCGTACCCTCCTTGATTACTATTTTTGTTAATAGCAAATATAGCCTCAGCTACAATTTATGTCAATAAGGGATGCGAGACTTACGCAATATTGGGAGCCGTAATACCTATACCTATACCTACTCACGTACTGTAAAATACCATCGCGTTTCAATTTTTTCCCAAGTCTATATTTCTGAGCCATATTCCCCCATCATGTTCCCCAAATAGAAACTTCACCTTTCGCCTTTAACGTTTGCTATACTTCCTACAGTTTCTTTTCAATTTAGATGCATTCAAATTTTAACGGATCTAGCTCGGTTTGGTTTTACTAAAATAAAATCACCTTCATTATATTTTTTAGGACTAATACGGAGGAACGCCGTAACTTACACAGAAACTCTATTAATGGAAAGGGATTTAATTCAACAATACCATCAGACCTATTTACAGCGATGGATAATACCACTCCAAACTCAACTATGCTTGGTGAATCCTCAACGCCAATTACAATAAACGCTTTGAACGACAACGGAACCAACATTGTACACAACACCATGGAGGACGAAGTGTACTCTACTTCAACTTATATTTATGTATACTCAGCATTCATTCTGGCATCGATTTTATTAACCACACTTCGTTCAATGCTCTTTTTCAAAATTTGCATGAACGCGTCAAAAGGTTTACATAATCTTATGTTTAGTAACGTTTTAAGGACTAAGATGAGCTTTTTTGATTCCAATCCCTCAGGTGAGACTCCCACTTCCATCGACGATAGTAACGTCCATGCATTTCAGGTAGAATTTTAAACCGTTTTTCTAAAGACATGGGTGCGGTAGATGAAATACTTCCTAGAGCGCTCTTGGATGCCATTCAAATTTTTATGGTGATGTCTGGAATACTCGTAATGGTATTTATTGTAAGGCCTTGGATGATTATTCCCAGTGTCATATTGGCGGGGTTATTTTATTTCACACGGGTAATTTTTTTGGCTAGTGCTCAAAATATTAAACGTTTAGAAGGGATTAGTAAGTAATTTTTAATATTTCGAACTTTTAACTTAGTGGGCCCTTAGCCCGTGCTCCTACCTTCTCGCATGTGTCAGCCTCACTGTCGGGTTTAGCGACAATAAGATCGTCAGGTGCTGAATCAATGGTCACAAAAGAATTTGACGGCATACAAGATCAACACACATCGGCGTGGTTCCTAGTTTTGGCCACGAGCGAAGCATTCGGTTTCTATTTGGATCTTATTAGCGTTATATTTTTATTGTTACTCACATTCCAATTTCTCATTTTTGATGACGGTAAGGGCTAACCTCCTTCTATAGCGCAACTTCTTACCAAGGCTTTCAGGGGCAACATTAAGTGGTGACGTTGGACTAGTAATATCACAGTCTTTAATTTTAACTGGCATGTTGCAATTTGGTATAAGGCAATCTGCAGAAGTCGCAAGTCAGATGACAAGTGTGGAGCGCCTTATGCAGTATACACGTTTGGATAAAGAAGAGGTTAGTCAATCATGTTCTGTAAAAAAACCTGACAGAGATTGGCCCAAAAATGGAGAGATCGAATTCAAAAATGTAAATTTATCGTATACTAACGGCGAACCGGTACTTAAAAATCTAAATTTTACTATTAAACCTGGTGAAAAAGTATGAGGGTTTAACTTTATTTACAGATTCATAAACTGAATTAATTACAGGTAGGCATAGTTGGTAGAACGGGAGCAGGAAAATCTTCTTTAATTGCAGCTTTATTTCGATTAGCCCCAACTGAAGGTGCTATTAGAATAGATAACGCAGATATTTCTGACATAAGGTTACATGATTTACGGAGCAAGATCTCAATTATTCCACAAGAGCCAGTATTATTTACAGCGTCATTAAGACACAACTTGGATCCATTACATGTATGCGATGATGCTACACTATGGACAGCTCTAGATAATGTAAGTACCTAAGGAAGGTACCTAATTTTTCAAGAAACGAAGATTTTTAGGTTGAAATGAAAGCAGTGGTAGACAATTTAGATATGGAAGTTAAACAGGGAGGTTCGAATTTTAGTATTGGACAAAGACAACTACTCTGCTTAGCGCGAGCTATAATTCGAAATAATAAAATCCTAGTCATGGATGAGGCTACAGCAAATGTCGACCATCAGTGAGTATACAGAATCCTGAAGCACAGCTCATACGTCTCTCCTTAGAACTGACTCTTTAATACAAAATACCATCAGAGAGAAGTTCAAGGGCTGCACAGTGTTAACCATAGCCCATAGGTTAAATACAATTATGGATTCCGATAGAGTGTTAGTGATAGATGCTGGGGAAGTGGTTGAATTCGGACACCCACATGAGTTACTTAAAAATCACAGTGGCTATTTTACGAACATGTTAAAAGAAACGGGAGCAGGAATGGAAAATAAATTACGTCAAATAGCGGAAAATTCTTATAATGATAATAATGCTACGACTTAAATTTGAATTAATTACATTTATAGGCCAGTACATGACTACACTTACAATATTAACTTTTGACTTACCTATCTACCATCTAAGTATTTTGTCGAACGATGGAAGTGTTAACCTAAAAAACGTTTTGTTTGGAAGCCTCTTTTGTGCATTAGATACATAAGGAAAATATCAAACTTTGGGCAAAGAGGAACTACTATTAGGTATTCTTTGCTTTGGGTGAGTTTCAAAAACTCCTTCATCATTTTGACGGAGAAAATTTCTCTTCCGCTAATTTTTACATGCCAAGCCACAAAATAGTTGCAAGTTCAAGTTCTTCTATTAAAATACGATTCATACGTACTCAAAGTAATCAAGTAGTTCGCAAGCACCTTTAATGCATTGCATTTCTTCATGAAACGGTTCTGGATATGCTTTCAAATGTATACAGTGATTAAAAAAGTAACACACCACTAACATCGTTGAAATCAATCCCATTTTGAAAAAAACGTTAAAACCTTTGTATGAAAATCGAAGGGCCCAAAAACTTGTTTGCCATAAATCTGTCCCCAATGTCGAACATAGGACTACAAGTAAATCAATACCTACTTATCCAGAATCCAGAATAACCTGCAGGGTAACTGTAGAAAACGTTATTTTATCCATAGTAATTACACAAAATACCGTTTTTTGACAGATAACCTGCCCGTTAAGTAACATGACTCCATAATTTTTATTTAACTTTACAGAGATGTTAAGCCATGGTTCGAATCCGGGTTTGGGCATGGATATTTGTAAATGTAGTGGGTTGGGTTGGTAGAGCAGCCTTGGCTGAAACCCCGCCCACTGAAAAATAAAGGCAAAAAATAAAAAATAAAAACATTTTTTTTCCAACTGGACACTGCAGATGAACTCTTTATCGTAATTTAACGAACATATCCTATGCGCACAGATCGGTGGTTTGCAACCTTTGCGAGGACACCGGACATAGGTCCATATTCTCCATTACTTTCACATCTTCTTTTCTCCCGTATTTCACTGCCACATCTATGGCCTGGTTCTGCATCCTCCGCTGCATCCAAAAGTTGTGTTCCTCTTAGATAAGCGACTGGCAATTCTTCGTTTAGAAAAACAAGTCTTTCAGCAACTTGATCATTCACGGTTGTGCAATTTGATCTAATTGTAGATGGCGTTTATTTTGTGATGTAGGTAGATCACATGCTATAAACGGGTAGTGGTATTCACATTGGTAGACCGCACGCTAAAGTGGCACCAATTTTTTTGTACCTAAAAATGCGGCGAGAACAGAGCGCTTTTGATACTTACTCAAAGTCCTGTCTTGTGACATTAGACTCATAAACTTTTTGATGTGTTGTCTGTCTTGCAGGGTGTCTAGGCATTTCAAGTCGCCCAACTGTACAAGATTATTATATTCAAAGACAAGATGAAATACCCGCTGAGAGTATCCATTATTTGATTCTAATGGTAGATACTACTTTCATCCATAATAATGTCTATAATTATCTTGGAAGTACAAATGGTTTTGATGATCTGTTCATATTATGACTATCAGACTAGTGAACGGTGTCGTATACCGTGAACGAGAGTCATAATTTTTGAATCAAAACGGCCCCAAATGGCCCATCAAACTTGTACCTAGTAGCTGCGCAGAGAGTTAGCAGAAAGCCCAGTGTCTATACGTTTCAGTGTCGCGACAAAAGTGTGCAAAATTGTGGACGCATCCGACAAAAGGGCGCGGTGGCCGGTGACAAATGACCATCCTCAAAGCACTTTATCCCAATGAAAGTCTTCGAATACTCAGGATCATAACTGTAATATGGCTTATAATACAATTTTTAAAATCTCCTTCTAGGGATTTCTGTGTGAAGTAAAAATGGTTTATATAAAAAATATGCCTGGAACACTTGTATTTCTCCCTTTTGTAATCCTACTCAATGCTGATAGGGCGTCGTACAATCTCACGATCGATTTTCTGCATTTTAATTTTAAACTAGGGCATATACCCAGTTTACAAGTATGTGGCCATATAGGTAATCTTGCAGTTGAAGTAAATGCGTGCAGTCGGCGGTCAGCAATCCAATGATCACAGTCTCCTCTATCAAATTTCTTGAATATGAAATTATCATTTTATTATCGCATTTTCGTTACACGCTTGTTCTGCGTACATTTCATTTCAAAGAACAAGGAGAATACCAAACTTAACCAATTTTTGACATGGTAGATCACTACCTTTCATGCCAAACTGAAGTGAAAAGCAAAACATTTGGATCCCGATCGATTAAATTACCTATTAGCAGTTTTTTAGTTAGTTAATTGGGGACAGAGGGGTAGCTAGAGTGTGGCAGGCAGGATACGTACCCTGGGCGCCGTTCAAAAGGAGGAATGAAACACGATTGCCATATAAATTCAGTCCACTGTTTAAATAGCGTGACAGTTAGATCAATAAAGGTCGCTGACACGAACCTTCACGTCTCCTCGCCCCTTACTCAAAAAAGAGTGAACGCAAGCCGCCGCAAGGTGCGGTACATACCGCCGTTACCAGAAACGTCGAAGCGTCACGTCGGAGTTAATACAACCGCCAAAAGGGTACCTGCTTTATATGTGATGGTTTTGTCCGTCCATCCGTCTGTCCCTCGCCTAACTCGAGATCGAAAAAAGAGCGATGTCAAACTTTCGCCAAGACGCCAATCTATTTCTAGTTCAAAGATCAGCGCAGAGCGCAATTTTAATGCTTGCCCTAGGCGCCATTTGGACATGCTATGCCACTGATTGGGGACATAGTGTGGAGAGACAAAAATATTCCACCGCACGCCCTTTTATCGAACGCGTTGTCCAGAATTTCGCGTCATTTTGGATACATGGATTTGGAGATGGATTGTACTTGGTTGACTGAACCGACATTTTCCCGCTAGCAAAATTATACCGGCGGCCGATGCTAGTGGCCCCAAAAACGATTAAGTTGAAATATTCACACGGTATCAGGGTGGTAACAGTTTAAGAACTGTAAAAACAGCTCCTGTTTACGCGTGCAATGTTGGTTGTCTACAGTCATCTATTCCGTTCTGTGATAGTATCAAGTTTCCCTGCATTTGAGAGTATACATATAGTCCATATGTATACATTTAAGAAAAATTCTCTATATATACAAATGTATGTATATTCTAAAACGGATTTGTTTTTTGTATAGTGTTTGTTTCAAATGCTAAAGAATTTCCGAACAAAAAAGTTTGATGTTTGAGTGCAAAAGTGAGGAGAAACCGAAGAAATGCTCATATTTTTCTTATAAAAAGTAACTATAGCACGAAATAAAATCTTAGAAAGAATTATTTTCGATTCATTTTGAAATTATGACTACCTACGCAAAAAAACCAGTCGGTGTAAAACTTTCACCTTCCACTGTTATCTTTAGTAGCATAGCATAGACAAATCAGTCGCTTTTAAGATGTGTTGTGCGGTGGTTATCACTGTTTGATGAATGAAAACTACCAAAGGGGTGAGTTTAAAATTCATTAAAGGAATACAGATTTCAAATACATACTACAATAGCTCAAAAGGTAGAACTCTGCAATTCGGTTCTTGTTTAATTCTTTGTCAGAATTTTCCAAAATTTTGATGCATAATAAACGCTAAAAAATATACCTACCTACGCAACGTGTAGTAAAAAACAAGGTAGGTACTTTCATGTGCCTAACCTTTTGGATAATTATAAAAGAACTATTAACATTACAATACTCATATACGGTGTATGTGGGTATCTATCAAACTTTTGATGGAATATATTATTCGAAAACGTGTCCAATGGTTTTTTTATGAACAATTTTCTAAAAAATAATTAATTTTTAAACGGTATTCCGTTGCTGTACTGGGTTACAGTTATTAAACCTACCTATTTTGAATAATTCAACCGTCCCAAATCCTTTTGGATATGACCCACTATTTAGGTTTCTTGTAGAGAACAAAATTACGAATCCATGCATACTATAGCTTTTAATTTTTTGAACTTTGAAACCAAGAAATTGGATAACTAAAAACTTGTGCTTTTCAAAAAGTCAGTGGTGTGGTGCCACGCCAGTTTGGGATCAAACAAAATCTAACTAATAGCAAATGCAGGCGCTTTTGTTTGATTTCATAATTCCATGGCATTACCGAACTTTACAAACGCAACAGTTTTTTACTATTTCTGAATTTATAAAATAGGAAACAATAGTATGTACGTATTCGTAATTTTTTTCTCTACAAAAAACCTAAATAGACTTTCTTTCTAAAATAATTAGGGAAGCCAATAATCGGATATTAAAAAAATATAATTGAAATTCCTATGGTGCGTTCAAGTTACCAACCCCGTATAAGAAAATTGATTGATTAGATGGGGATGGGCATTATACCTACAAATTAAAATATCGAGACGAAATCGTTAGCAGTGGAGATAGATAATTAAGGAATATGTTGTAGAGTAGGGGTAGTATATCTGTATATATATGAAGATGAGTAAAATTACTGTTTTCAGTAATTTATACCTAGTTAGCCAATTCATTTTACTGATTGTGATTGATATGTTGAAAGAAATCTAGATATTACCATTGACGGAGGGGGTGGGTATTAGTCAATGATATTATTATCATTGAATTTATAACCAAATGATATTATGTTGTTTGCATCTTGCATCATTGCGTGAGTCAGACCAGACACTGCGCTAAAAATGCTCACGTAGCCGTCTCAAGTCGGGAACTCAAGTCAAGTCAAATATTGCATGTTCATCTACAATTTTAAACTGCTGGAGTGCTCCCGACATACCGGGCAAAGACTAAAAATGTATAAAATACCATTGAATATTACCAAACACTTTTGGCACCATGTCAAAACGTGATCAAAACCTTCTTATATTCACCAAATTTGTTTAAATGTTGTGCTCTTGCTGTCTAGGTCGTCGTTTTGGGCCAAAATTCGGCCACAATTGCGTTAGGGATACAGATACACTGCCTCGAGAGGTAATAACCAGACGTTGTAGATACTTTTCCAGTCGTGGTCAGCATTAACAATTGCAGTGTAAAATGTGAGTTTCTTGATGGGGAGAAACAACATCTCCACTTTCAAGCTTAATCATCATTGCGGAAAGGCAAGATGCTAATGAGTTACTCCAGCGGGAGTTTTCAATTTTGTTTTATTTTTATACTCAATTGCTGTTTCAAAATCAAAAGCCTTATCCCCAAAAACATCTTTAATATCTGCAAACCACTGCCCTCTATCCTATTACTGTTTAATTACAATGCCAGGACTTGCAAAAGGTGAACTTTGATCAATAACAGAAACCATTAGGTGTTTGGGTATATTGTCGATTAGAGGCGTACACGTCCAAAGAAATAGAGTCTTCAAATAGATACCGCTTCCGCTACGCTCTGTATGAAATAAAAATCAATAACTAAAACAGTATAAGTAGATATGCTAAATCTAAATATAACTTTGTTAATTATAACCACAGTAAAAAATGTCGTTAGTCGCTCATTTTAATTCGTATGCTCCTATTGGCTTTAGAATTCAATTGCACAACCGCAAAAGCAACAGCTGGCAATACTTTCTTTCTTTTTTCCCACCACAATACCGGTTAAAATAACCTTCGCAAACAGACATGGGATTCCATTGATACCGCTAGGTTACGAAAAACTGGTAGGAAGTCAGTTATCTCCGATATCTCGCAAAGAAAACAAGCGCTCTTGAATCGTTTGGTACCAATTATTTTGTTTAGTGCGCGAAATTCTTTCCTGTTCACCCTTCCGTCAATGTACTTAATTTAATATGGATTTTAGCAAGAAGTACGAAACCCCAAACCCCGAAGTGAAAGCGAACCCCATCTCAAAACTATTGTATTGGTGAGTAGCTAAAATTTGCCATCCTTTATTACGCATCTCGCGCTCAAAACGTGAATGTTAACTGATCCATGATTTTTTTGCACACAACCTTCATTTTTTGATTGCTTGGGTAATCCAATTATATTACCAACAAGAGAATTAATCAAATTAATACCGTTTTTTTTTTGCTTCCTCATTTGAATAGAGCGAACTGGGCAAGTCAGATTGAATTGTAAATTATTGAGTTACCTGATACAGGTTGATAACCAAAGCCAAAGACGAATGTAATTTGATAATTATTATTGTTATCATTATCACAATTTTCTGCATTGCCAAAACGATTGATCTGGTTTAGTAATTTCGACTTCATTTGTGATCCTGATCTGCTGAACGGTCACTCCTATCGAAGTTTAAAATTCGACATTGACGTGGATGGGGAAGGTGAATGTAGACCAAATAGCGGCAGGTCTGTGATGTTATCATGTATCATAAAAGGCAACATTAATTTTTGCGGTTTTGTGTATATAATTTATCTTATCATATTATTTATGGAGATGCAAATTAAACACCGTCTCAATTCTCATCGTAGTTCAGCGGGACGACGACCCCAAATTATTTTTTACATTTTTCTTTCCAAAATCAAAAATTCGAGTTCGAAAAATAAGGAAAGATGCGTCTCTGCGTTTTGTTTAAATAGAAAACAGAGACTCTGTTCTCTATTTAAACAAAACTGTTTAATTTAAAGACAATTTAAAAAACCGCATTTCTTCAGTAGCATGAAAATGCACTTTTATAAGCATCTAACAGGTTCGCAGCGAAGTTTGGAGATGTATCATACATTCATACCCGAGTTCATACCTCTTATCTGCTCCTCAGACTGCAGACAAAGATCATACTACAGTAGTATGATCTTTGCTGCAGATGATAAAAATTTACATTTACTTTGTGGTGTCATTGATTATTCATATAGTAACGGGTGTCCCAAAATGCATACAAGAAGTAATTTCCGAGGTAATTTCAGTAGAAACACCAGGTTTTGAATTGATTCGGTTTAGTTCAAGTGTAGGGTTTTGTATCTCTGTAACATGTACAAGTTCAGATTTTTTTCAAAATTTTTATGAAGTTACTTTTCCATAAAATTGCCGAGGTCATGACTTTTATATTAAAAAAAGTCAAAACATTCCGACTTATCCGAATTATTCCTCAACCATGGTGTATAATAAAGACCATGCCCTCAACTAGTTCTGACTTTCTTGAAGTAATTCACTTAAAAAACAGTCCATTGTTATTTACGTATGTACGAAGGGGTTACCAACCTCAAATTTGTTGTTCTTATATCTACCACATTTCTACCATGAAATCTCCGAAATGTGCAAGTTCTCCACCACTTTGCATCCTTTCAAATATCCGCACAAGCATTGGTAACTTTAATTTTAATGACATGTAATGCAAACGTAATTTGGTATAATTCCGAACAAATCCACAATAGTCTATAATGCGAAATAATTTCCATTCCATTTTATCTGATTATGATGGGAATATACCAGAGACTTGGAATATACGAGTTATTATTGTTCAAACGAATGTGGGAAAATTTCAAGGCATAGCAAGGAAAAAGTAACATACAAACCCAGATACAAACTTTTATTTATGGTAATAGGAAATGCTCAAGTCAAAGATATGCTTTCGAGATTTAGTGTCGATTTTCTTTTCAACTCTTGCAATCAATTGTTAATGTTCTTATACTTTTTTTTTTCACATTTTAATTTTCGTGGCTCTTGCTCCATTAAAGGGCAGAGTTTCTTGAAGGAATGTTTATTAACGAGCCACAAAAAGCTAGTTCGGTACTCATAAAGTGAAAGTGATGAGTCTCCCTAGGAGGCATCCAACGGGGTTTAGTAACGGAAATATAATGTATTGTTGGAACAGTATTGCTAGTTTTTACTATTGTTATTTTGAATTTCCGTTTACGGATAAGATTTCATCGCAAATTTCCCTGAAAATCATATGCGTTTCTCGGCGTTTCTTTATATAGTTTCAAATTTAATTTTCTGCATGAATTACGAGCTATTTTGGTACTTTTACGTACAAGCAAATGCAATTTGTCGACATAAGCGTTTCAATTTGTATTTCGTGAGTCCAAGGCCCCAGTTCGGTATCGAATGTTACTTCATTTGTTAGCGATTCTTGGATAATTACTCGGATAATTATAACAAAGCGATATGAACGATAAAAGCGTTTGTTTCTGTAAAAAAGTCACATGAAAGTAATGTTACATTGCAAAAACCGCTAATGCTAGATATAAGGATGTTGCATACGAACTGTCCGAATATTTCATTTTCCAATTAAAAATTTAAGTTTTCACATTTTCAAACCTGGGAACTTTGATATGAATTTCGTACATTGTTGAGCAGTTTTGGATAAGGCATGGCGTATCTTAGTATCTTCAATGAAAGAAAATGTATTTTGTGAGGAGGTACATTTGCTAAAAGTTCAATTCTAAAACTCGCTCCATCAAGTGAGTGATGTTTGGAAAAAAAATTAATATCATCTTATTTATTTACGGGCTCATTAAAGTAATTGACGAAGCCTGATTATAATCATACCTAATCATATTATAATCATAATAATTTATTCTCGAATTTAATTGAATCGTAAGTATGTACCTACCATTATCGGTACGTCGTAAGTAATTAGCATGTAATAATGTATTCGTTGATAAAAGATAAGCAACGAATCAAGATTCACGCATAGCAAGGACGACGATACTTTTGGACCTATCGAGTTTACTACATTTCACAACTGTGCACTGCAATAAATAAATAAGCGCGAATTGACATCATTCTTTCAAACGACATTTATTTTCGCAGCTTTCACCCTTTCACTGCTGCTTTCTCTACTACCACCGCCATCACCCCCAAAACCAAGTATCTCATCAACTTCACCGCGCGAACCTCAATTTCCCGAAATCTGATTTTTTGCACTCATTCCGAGGTTGGAATTTTGGAAAAATTTTCGGCATATAGACACTCAAACCTTAAGGTTGAGGAAAACATAGAAGAAACGTAAATATTTGGACTTCTGGATGCTTTCCAAACTCATACTCTTATTTTGGATCCTTGTAAGTGTAAGCGAAAAAATGCATGTTTTTGAACGAACGACCACTCTGTCAAACGCTTGCATTTGCATTACTGACACCAAGTAATTTTTATTATAGATGGACTATATCCATCCATTGCATCATCAAATTCAAGAATTTAAGGTTACACACAACCTAAAAGCCTCGCTAAAATCCATTGTACCATTACTGCGACAATGGTTGATATGGCTCGACCTCGGGCTCGACTTAAACATTAAGTATAGTCTACTTTTTGCAATTTAAAATTGAAATAAACGTCGCTCCTCAAGCTCAATTATATAGTTATAACTATTTCGTTCTGAACACAATAAAACACATTCCATCTATCTTTAGAAACAAAGTGAGTTTAACCTGTTCAATGTTTCAGTGTGTAATTAATTTTCTAATTTGGTCCGCGTGTGAACTCTAAAACCCCGGTAAAAACCTAATTCGTTTACTAAAAGGCAAAGTGCACTTTCGCTATTATATTATGGTATTCCATCTAAGTTTCCTCAACGGGGTACCTACCTAATCACGAGCCTAATCATAGAGCTAATCATGTAATTAGAGATCGCCAAAGAATTGACTTTTAACGACAATTGCCAAAATGTATTAATGAATTATTTTTGAACCTGATTACTTTTCAAATAAGTTGAATCTTTAAATTTTCAATTTAATTTCCATTACATGCTCGGTTACATGTAATCACCTGTATTAACGGACAATCAAAAATAGATCGACGAGTCGTCTTTGGAAATTCAAGTTAAATATTATAGTTTCCCAAATAAACCAAAATTCCAAAGGTGACTCGACAGCAACTCTTTTTTGATCGCATAGTATTTTAAACTTATTCAGATTACAAACTTCATTTGCTTCGCTTCCTTGATTCCCAAAATGGCTTCCTTTCCATATTTAGTTATATGCATACCTACCTACAATACAAGTTTCATGAACAGCAAATTTCAATCCGTTGATGCGGACCACAGCCATTCTTGTAAAGTGGCAAAAGTGGTAAAAATAGTTAGGTGGCTATCGAAATAAACCGCTACACCCCCGAATTCATGTCGATTGTATGTATCGTTGTTGTTTTCTTTTAACTTTACGGGTGCACCGGAAAGATTTCGAATTGTCAAAACGCATTACTACAATGGAAAGTAAACTTCGTCGGATTAGGTCTCGGATTAGGTACGGTTTCAAGCGAGGTTTCAAGTCTCTATGAAAAGAATTTTTTTCCGTTGAAGTTATCCATAAATATCCATAAAATACTCAAAAGTGAGTCGAATGGCACTATTTGCAAACCTTGGGCTCAAGGTTTTTTACATTATCGAATTAGAACAATAGTTGTCCTCGATAACAGAGTAGGCAAGCAGCCTTAAATGCATATGAATCACAATGAGGACTTACCATACCTATTCATACATAATTCAACCGGTTTAACCAGGTTAGTTGCTAGAAATTACCACGGAATCAATTGTTGATCATAATTGCACCCAAAACAAATTCTACCAATCTAATTAAGGTTGAATTCTCTATTTATGGTGAATTCAAACAATAACATCACCGTTGTTTATCTCATTAGTCGTTAATAATTGACACATACTTTCACCGATTGAATTTTGGGTTCTTATACTTACGATAATGACTTCATTCTCGATCATATGGCGAGGATCATGGTAGATATAAACCAAATGAACTATAGCTTTGAGTACCTAATAGCGTAATAATGTTGTTTCTGCAAATTTTTGTTTCAAAGGCAACACTTTTTTTCTTTACATGACGCGTCTCGATTGTAGCAGCATAAGACAAGACTTAAGATTGAGACTGCTTAAAATCCATAGTAACCGTTGTTGCAATATTGGTTGCCAGAATCTTTAGCTTAATTTTTACTATGTATATTAAATCT